CCCAAACTTTAAAATGGATTCGATTTAATTCGTGTCACTAAATAGGATATACTTTCATTTTAAAATTATTGAAAGTAACTTTTTTATACGTTAAAAAACACTTTACGACAATATTAAAATGAACGAATATTACCCTTAGTCAATTTATTTCGATTCGAGTCAAGAGATGCTTATGAGGGTATCATGCAAAATCAATTAAGAACTAAAATGAATTAACATGCAACCAACATGCAAAAAATAAAATGAAATGAAAATTGGACTAAAATATAAACAATCAAACCAACATGTCAAAATTAAAAAAAAAAGTGCAAAAGTGAGTAAAATTAGCATTTTTAATATGGAGTGCTAAAATTACAAAGAATAAAAATAAATAAAACATGGGGACTAAATTAAAATAAGCTAAAATTGCATGGCCAAATTAAAACAAAAAATAGATTCTGGTCTGAAATATAAACATGCAAAAACTATAGGGGTTATTTCCTAATTATTCCCTTTTTTCCAGCCAAAACATTCAATCTAATAAAAAAGGGGAAAATTATTAAATCAGTTCATAAGTATTTAAAAATAATTAAACAACCACTGCATATGACCAAAATGTAAAAACACGCTAAATATACAGGGATTAAAATGAAAATAACTCTAAAAAATATAACATGCACAAAAGGGTAAACTACATAATCGGTCCCTACAAGTGACTAACATGCAAAAATATGCTAAAGTTAGGGGGACTAAACAACAATTATACCAAAAATTAAAACATGTATAATAAATGGGTAAATTATAAAATCGGTCCCTACATATTATTATTTTGTAAAAATACGCTTAAAGTCAGGGACCTAAGCGTGATTTCCCCCGAAATTCCTTCTATAAATAACACTTAATATTTTTTCATTTTAAATCGGTTTTTAAAAAATACCAAAACTATCTCTTCTCTCTCTTCCTCTCTTTGGTTGGCACAATGTCGGCCGCCTTTCTCCACCCTCGACCGCCGTATATGGTGGTGGTGGTCGAAGCTCCGAAACTTACCCAAAAACTCATAAACGCTTTGATCTAGACCCCTATGCCTAGATCTAGGGCTAAAATTCCCTGAAAATCCCTAAAAGCCCAAAAAGCCCCCTCAACCCTTAGGTTTTCTCACCCTCCGGCAACCTCTGACAAAGAACTGATCCCCAGTTTGACTTCCTCACTCAGGTATCACTCGATCTCTTTAGTTTTTACTACATGTAAATAAGGTTTTGGTTGCTTGGCTACTTTTTTGTTTTCTATTTGCATTTCGAAACTGAAGAAAAAATATGAGTAAATACCTTTAATCTTTCTTTTTGCTCTTTTATTATCTCTTTGAAACTGGAACTGGAAACCTTTTTTACATAGCTCATTCGTGGTTTTATAACCCCGATATTACAGTTTTATTTCTTTCTTTTTTTCAATAGAACGAAATGATTACTAAGAAAAATTATTGTGATTTTGCGTGGAGGTTTGCTTGTTGCTTGTTGATTTGGGTTTTGTTGTGGCAGGGGCATGATTGGTGGCACTGGTGGTGGCCGGGGATTGGTGGAAACCGCGATGGATTTGATTGGCTTAATTTGGACCATTGGATGGGTCCAGATCAGACAACCCATGATGAGTGGCGGAAGCTGGAGTGGAAACTTAGGGTGAAAACCCTAATTTTGGGCGATCTAGACCGTTGGATCTAACACCATATCCAACGGACATGGACTGGTGGCGTCTAATGCAAAGAGTAAAGAACCCTAACTGGGTTCGGGCTTCCATGCATGGGTTGTGGCGTTGGGCCACGAGTTGTTGGGCTAGAACTTTATTTTGGGCTTGTAATGAGTTTTGTATAAGCCTACAAAAATTAAATAATAATAATAATAATAATAATATTATTAAAAATAATAATAATATTAATATTGTTGGGATGAAATCGAGTGTCAATAATAAGAGAATTACTTATACAGATATTTGGAGGATACACACTACATAAAAAGGATTCATACTTGAGCAATCAAGTCAAGGCCCTTTCTAATACATTATAATAACTGTTTAGAAATCATTTAGCCACGACTAAAAGTATTTTGTAAGCACTAATCATAGAAGTAATTTAATAAAGCAAAACAAATCACAAAAAATTCACTCAAACAACAAAATTAGAAGACACAATGAACTATCGAAAGATAATTTTAGGATTTCTTCTCTCAAGCTAATGATAAATTGTATCAAAAATTCAATGAAATGTGTTTAAAGATAAAACATGTTCGATACTTAACTAAAGAAATGTAAATTTTGTCACTATCTAAAATTTATAAATCTGCCAACAACAAAAAAACTCAATTTATAAATATGTCACCATTCTTCAAGCTTTAATTTAAGCCTCATTTTACAAGTTTTCCTTTATGGTTTCCAAAATGAGTTTTTGGGATGTTTAATAAATCCAAAGATTCTAGGTCGTTTTTGTTAGATTTAGGTTTTTTGGAAGTATTCTAATCCTTATTTTCATTACATAGATTATTTAGAATCTCATTTTTCTTATCTTGATTAGTGAAAGAAGTGGGTGAAGCCTCCAAGACAATGGAGAAGGAAAAAGCTTCCATTGAGTGAGTTGGAGCTATTGCTTTAGCCTAGAAATCAAGGTATCCACACTTACAACTTCTATATACTCTTAACGGGTCAAGTTAATGTATTGAATTGCATGAAGGTAAGAAATAAGCTTTTTGAGCATATCCATGGTAGATTTTATGTTTTGGAATTTTAAGCATGATATAAGTCTCATTTATGCCATTTTTATTACACAAGATTTTAAGCATGTTTGGGGACCTCACAAGGGTCTTTGGGAGTGAGATATAGCATTTTTGTGCCTGTTTTTAAGTCTTCTGTAGGTCAAGTATCGATACTATTGGGCTAGTATCGATACTTGTTCTTCGTTTCTTTGCAAAAACGTGTTTTTGGGGCAGAACTATCGATACTCTTTCAAGAGTATCGAAACTTTGAGTCATAGTTTTGAAACTCCCAGAAAGTATCGAACTAGGCAGAACAAAATGTTTAAAATTATCGGTACTTATATAAGTATCAAAACTTTTGCAGAAGTGTCGATACTTTTAGTCTGTTTCAGGCAAAATGGATCGTTTTAGGGAATTAGACCCGAGGTACCCCAATAATTCAGTATATCATCAAATAAAACTACAAGTGAGAATATTTACGATGCTTAATTCAAACGTAGAAACCAAATAATTAGGGTGACATAAAACTAGGCTTGGTTGATGCTTGGGAAATAATTCGGACAATCGAATTCCTCTAGTTTAGGGTGTTGAAAGTATAGATGTAATCCGGATATCCATAGGTAGGATGCAAGGCCCTTAAAACTGACTAGCTAGGGCGTAAGGTCTGACACTCGCAACGGGTGGGCTAGTTGGGGGTGTGTTATCCAATGCAGTGATTTAGGGGGCCACATCCTCGATAGGCTAGAGGAATATGTGAGCTCCGAGATTCAGAAATCCCTCAGTCGCACCATGATGTCTATCATAGGTAGAGAGTGAGTATCGCAAGGATACTCACTAATGTTGTATTAATTATGCATTGTATTGTTTTCAGTTATTAAAGCATTTTGTAAATGTACCCCTGTTAGTATATTTTAGTTGTTAGTGTGGTAGTGGGCTAGTTAGCTCAGTGTTTGGGGTTTGTTTCCTTACGCATATTAGGTGAAGATCAGTAGAGGAGCCTTCTGACTATAAGAAGTCTAGACCAAACTACAGAACAGAGTACGTCTCAAATTTCTAGAGGGCAGTATATTCAAAGTTCTATTTTATAAATTTGAGTCGTAAATTGTTTTAAATACCTGGTCTATATATTTTGAATTATTTTGTAGTTGTGGGAGCTCCCGACTGTAAACTATTTTTACATGAATTTTATTTTCTATTTTATTGCAAGTATTTATACATAAAGTTTTAATTTCAAGTGAGTATGCTAAGGAAATTTGTTGGTTAGCCACTCCGGTAGTTTCGTGTGGCACTCTCATTGGTCGATTGTGTGTTGTACTAGTGTAGGGTGTTACAATTAGGGAAGTCCAAAAGGATGAGAAAAACAATATATCCCGACTCTATATTGATTAGATCAATGAGATTATAGATCGAACAAATATAAGGTTAAAGTTTTTATTTGAGTCTTATTGATTTCTGGAAAAAAAAATCGAGGAAATCAAATTAGGAAGAAGAAATGGACAGAAAAAACATTTTGGCACTAATTTCTTTGCAAACGACGAACTACAATAGTCAAACAAAGATGGAGAAACACGAGATAACTTAAAAATAATGACACATAGCATATAAAAATAATAAATAAAACTTCTACAAATATATTAAAAAAGAAATTAAATATATCATTTATGAAATAATTATAGACATATATTTGGACGTCCATGCATGTTAAACATACATATATAACATTGAACAAAAAGGTGATCCGACAACGAGACCACGAGAGGCACCTCTAAATTCAAATTAAAGCTATGTTTTACGTACGTAAAGTACTTTATTTTGCGTATTCAGCACTAAAAATAGATGAAAGTGAATCTCTTTCTGCAATTCATTGCAAATTTAAAACAAATCTTGTAAGACACTTTTGTTTAGTAACCAATTATATTAATACATATCATTTTACGAAAATAAATTCGATAGTTGATTTTTACAAATGAAAGTGCTATTTTTTTTATTTTTTCCAATAAGATCATAGAAAAATTAGGCCTTCAATTTTTGCAAAAACATAAACAAGAACGGTGAGCCACATGGTCTTCCAAATTCGAAGACAGAGAATTAGGAGCAAAGCTAAACATGTCGTAAAAATTAATAAATAAATGAATAAACTTATTGAAAATGAATTTATGAGAATGGACTGAATTAATTACATTTACATGTAGAGTGAATAATTTTTTATGGGCCCTCACTCTTCCAGCTCCTCAATAAGTACCCCCACCTTCTTCCCGCTTTCTATTCGCCCCCAAATTAACGAATCACCTCTTGAAAAAACAACAATGGCTGCTGCTTCTTCTTCTTCATTGAGATTGCTCTATTTTGCTTCATTGACGTGTTTTTTTGCTATGGCGAATGCGAAAATTCCTGGGGTTTACACTGGTGGACCTTGGGAATCCGCCCATGCTACTTTCTATGGTGGCAGTGATGCTTCTGGAACTATGGGTATTAATTTGTTCTGAGATTTTCCTCTGTTTTTAGTTTACAAGAAGAGTGAAAATGAAAACCCGATCTGTTAAAATGTGTAAATGATTTTCCTGTTTTATTGTTAAGGCGGTGCATGTGGGTATGGGAATCTGTACAGCCAAGGATATGGCGTGAGCACAGCAGCATTGAGCACTGCGCTGTTCAACAATGGGCTGAGCTGCGGAGCTTGCTTCGAGATTAAGTGCACGGACGACCCCAGATGGTGCAAGCCAGGGAACCCTTCCATTTTCATCACTGCCACCAACTTTTGCCCTCCTAATTTCGCTCTCCCCAACGACAATGGCGGCTGGTGCAACCCTCCTCGCCCTCACTTCGACCTTGCCATGCCTATGTTCCTACAGATCGCCGAGTACCGTGCCGGTATTGTCCCCGTTTCCTTCCGCAGGTACGTCGGCTAACATTTCCTAAATTTTGGTAATTTTGAACTGTTAACTCTTCTAACTGGGTAAAAATGGAAATTTTTGTTCCATGTTTGTGTACATTTAATGCGTTTTCTGCTGGAGTTTTCTCAGGAACCAAACAGTGTTTTGTTACAAAGATACTATATGAAATTATATTAAAAAAACAAAGAATTGGCCTTTATGAGCTCATAATGTCGGTGTCTGTTGAGATTTTGAGAATCAAACCCAGAATTTAATGTCGTTTAATATAGACCTAGCGGCTGATCTGCGAAAGGACCCAAACACCCCTTTCCCTTATAACGTACAAAGGTTTCCAGGGTATTACCGTAACTTTAACGTTCACTGAGATTTTCCCTGAAAATCAGACATCCTTAAAACGACAAGCTTCACGACATCCCACGCGCAGTAACCGTTCTCTCATCATCAAACGCGGAAATGAAGATTTCTAGATTTTTACATAACTGCCCTTTTATTTTTAATTTTTTACAGAGTGCCTTGCCGGAAGCAAGGTGGAATCAGGTTCACGATCAACGGATTCCGATACTTCAATCTGGTTTTGGTGACCAACGTCGCGGGTGCAGGGGATATCGTGAAGGTGAGCATCAAGGGAACCAACACCGATTGGTTGAGCATGAGCCGTAACTGGGGTCAGAACTGGCAGTCGAACTCCGTTCTGGTGGGACAGAAGCTCTCGTTTAGGGTCACCGGCGGTGACGGACGGACCTCCACCTCCTGGAACGCGGCACCCGCTAATTGGCAGTTCGGCCAGACCTTCACCGGGAAGAATTTCCGCGTTTGAAACACACTCTCCCTATTTAAAACTTATATAAATATAGTTCCCTTTTGTTTCTGGCCCTTCGATTTTCCTTAATTTTCTCGGGAAAATTTGAAGTGGTGGGTAAAAGTAAAAATGTGCTTTTGGGTAGAGTTTACTTGCGTAAAAGAAAGAATAGATAGGAAAGTCACCAAGTGAAGTTGTTTGGGTAATTTTCTTTGTTCAAGTGTTTTGGGCGTGGATTGTGATGAAGCTGGAGGAAATAGTAAAACATTCCAGCTGATGGTAAAAAGGTTGTAAGGGTGCAAATCAATGTAGCCCTCAGTCGTTGGTCGTATTATAGTAATTTCATTTTCACTGCCATAAAATGGTCTTTGTGTTTAGTCCTTGGATACGTTTCAAAGGAAAATCAAAATGTAATCTTAAGATCTGTCATTTCGCTTAACTTTTTGGGTCGTTATTACTTTGGGCCAAATAAAATTCAAAAATGAAATCGAGGGTAAAATCGACCTGTCTGGTTGAGGCAACATGTACTAAGCGTGTTCCTCCAACCCAAAAGACAAAAAATGAAAAAAGCGCCGTCTGTGGGAATCGAACCCACGACCACGTGGTTAAAAGCCACGCGCTCTACCGGCTGAGCTAAGACGGCTGATAAATATATTAGGAAGATAAATATATTTGGTATATTTATAAAGAAGAGTCAAAGTTCAATCAAGCAAACTTGGACTTATTTGAAGTTCAATCAAGCTAGGGGCGGGTTGATGTGTAGTTTTCTTGGGTCAGTTAATCCACTTGGACTTAGAAACTCCTTAAAAAAAAAAGAAGCAAAGTTTGGAAGAGATAATATATATATATATATTTGAAACCAATTGATCCATCACATGAACCTACTTAATACGAAACCTAAATCCGTCACTATCCGGAGCAGCATATCTGTATACTCCCATGAGTGACCCCAGTAGAAGCATGGCTCTTATCACCAGTTGGTCATGTGAGAAAGGGCTCATCGTGAACGGACGATAGTAGGAACATGTATAATTTGCTTGAATTATGCCATCAGCAAGTGTGATACCTGAAAAGAGTCTTCTTTCTTCCTTCACTCACCTTTGTTTCTTCTTCTTTTTCTTTTACACAACAACATCTATTGCAAACATTTCATACAGTTTTTCTTCATTCATCTTTTATGTCATTCTTCTTCACTTATTAAGACGGTTTTTTTTGTTGGGAGCAAGGTGATTAAGCTACGAGTTCTCAGGTGCAATCCGAAGCCTTTTTTTGGACAAGAAGACACTTTCTTATGTCTATTTAAGGATAGCAAGGTTATTAAACTCTTTCCAAATTTTTTCACGATACCTTGATTGTTAAGCAACAAGTTCCAAGTATCTTGTGAATGAAGCTACAGACAATGAAAAAAAGGAGAAAATAACTGTCGTTAATAAGCAACTCTCAATTCATTTGTATCCAACATTCAATAACCAACTTAGAACCTACACCACCAGCTGTAATCAGAAAATGAACAAAAGCTTAACTAATATGCACATAAACAATTGCAGATTCAAGGATATTATCAGAGAGACAGTTAGGCATTACAAAGTCAATATTGTGATCGCTAAAAATAACTCATCCAGGAAACCAGCAAATCAAGACCTCACCCAATTGCAGTGTGAAGCAACACGAACAAGGTTCTTTGAACGGTTTCAATCATAGATTTAAATAGCAGTCTATTATTAAATGATAGTCATTATATAATGGTGTGGTGCAGTTTAAAATGTAACGGAAAAAAATTTAAACACCTATTTATAATGAAAAAATCTTTTAGACTCCAAAATTTAATTTTAAGTATAGTTTAAGTTTTTTTTTATTAAGCCTTATTTGAAAGGAGGTGTGGTGTAGGGTTGTTTCACTTTCATCCAACCATTGATGGGGGTGGCGGTTTGCTAAAGAAAGAGAAGTAAGGAAAGGTCAGATGCATCCACTCTCATCGATCCCCATAAAAAATAAAAATTGCAGCCTTTTTCCTTTCGCTCTGCTTTGTTTTTAGTATACAATAGAAAAAACTGTATAATAGAAAAAACTGTATATTAGTTATACACTTTGCATTTTTTTCATTATTGTACTTAGGGTTGTAAATGAGACAAAATAGATTGTGAGCTATTCGAGATTGACTCGATCAAAACTTGATAAATACTCGGATCGAATGAACTCGACTTGAGCTCGAGCTCGACTCGAGTTCTTAACGAGCCAAAACGAGCTACTAGATATTCGACTCGAAAAGTTTATGAACAGCTCGAAAATATAATATATTAAGATTTTTTTAAAAAAAATTAAATTATTAATAATATTAATATTTACGTATTGATTTTTTTTTAAAAATACAGTAAGATTTCATGTATTTAAAGTTTATGTTCGAGTTTGAGTTTGAGGCTTCAATCGAGTTAAGTTTAAGATTTTTTTTTTCATTTCGAGCCTTTTCGAGCTTCTCTCGAGCTTCAGTTTAGGATTTCGAGTTCTAGTCGAGCTTTAAAATTTTAAACTCGCGACTTTTCGAATCGACTCGAACTCGACTCGACTCGTTTACACCCCTTTACTTCTGTACATGGCTGCTATCCTCTCCATCGCTGCAACTCTTCATCACACCAATAGAACTCATTCTGATCATGGCTTTGCTTCTATCAAAGGATAGTTGAATTTGTAGTCTCCATTTCCCCTTCAATCCACTTAGGAGTGGATGTTTGATTGAGTATAATGGAATCGAATTAAAATATTTTGAATTGTTTAAGTTGATCCATCTTATTTTATAGTTTAAATTTTGTTTGATTTTTTTAGTTGAGTCGAGTTTATAAAATTTAAATCGAACTAAATTGTTTAAACTTAATTATAAATATTTATAATATTATAATTTAATTTAATTTTAATTTAAAGGGTTTTATATAACCATATATATAACGGGATATGAACCTTGGTGTTAGGGTGGGCAAGACGGCACGTGTAAACCTTAAAATTTTATCATATTTATTTAGGTTTAAAAATTTTATATTATTGATATACTTGTGCCCACCCTCATACTTTTTTTAGACCCCTCACTACATACACACATAAATATATGTGGTGTTTTCCCGATATATCACCTATACCCTATAATATTTCCGATCAGGCACGGTTCAGACTATTTTTCCTGATCTAACACCCTTTGCAGTAAGGTGTGCCCTCTGAAGCGCGCTTTAGGCTGATCTGACGCCACGTGGGTATAGCGCGGGGCAGGGGTCGCGCTTTCCCTTTGAATCTGACACGCGTCACAAAGGAGAGCCTCCTGCGGTGCGCCTTAGGTTTAATTACATACTTACCCTGGAACCTTTTTCCTCTGAAACTTACGTACACATGTTATCACGGGGGGAAAAATCTGTGTCATTTCAGATTGCGGAGCTGAGATCAAAGCAGCAATGGAGTCTTTGGGTCCAATGTGGCAACCACCCTTTGTCCAACATAGGTATTGTCTATGACATATTGCTGCGAACTACCATGGAAGGTACAAGAAGAATGATGAACGTCAATTAATTATGCGCATGAGTAAGTGAAACTGATGTAGTTTGTTTTCTTTCGATCATTTTAATTTTGCAAAGAAAGCAAGTTAGTAAGTTATATATTTTTTTATCAGGTTACGAACTACTTCCTCAAACGTTTGAATCAATGCTTCAAGATTTGCGGGTGAAAAACGAGGAAGGATACGATTACATCAGCCTCATCGATAAAGAAATATGGGTGAACGCATATGATGGTGGATATCGATATGGACACATAACGACCAACTTGGCTGAGACAATCAATTCAACCTTAAAGGGTGCACGTCACTTACCTGTAGTGACTTTGTCTATCACCCTAGATTAGTTGCAGATCTATAAAATAAATTGTTGCGTCAAATGGAATGTCTGTAACAAGCTTCTCTAGAAGACATGAAATGTTTCATGTCACAGAGTTGTCGCGACCTCTTCAAGGGATTGAAGCTGTGTCTTTAAGAGTAAATCTATGGGACAAAATGTGTTACTGCGGGTTTTTTAAAGCTCTGAAGTATCCATGCTCTCATGTGATAGTAGCTTGCTCGCATACACGTCAAGACTATAACTGTTTTGTGGATCTCGTATACCTACTATATGAAGTTTTTAAGGTATACGAATTTGAGTTCACCCCTATAGGTAATGATAAAGACCCTGATGAGGTTCAGGATTGGCTTTCGATTGTACCAAATCCAACTTTATTGAGGGAGCTTGGTCGTCCAAAATCTAATCGAATTCATTGTGATATGGATATTCGAGAAAGATCTAGACAAGACAGAAGATGTGGGCATTGTAGAAACCCAGAACACACTAGAAAAACATGTCCACTTCTGCTGTCATCAAGTAACAATTGATGAGGAACTGATGTAGTTGTTTATCAAATAAGAATTCTTGTACTTTAATTTGCATTTACTTCAAGTTAATGTCATTCGATCTTACAATAAGTGACAAACTTAAGAAAGTTATTGAACATAATTATTAAATTTTATCAAAACAATAACAATTTGGTATTTGAATATAATTTTAAATACAACAAACTTACAATAAGTATTAAATGGTAAATGATAAACAAATTACAATAACTGGTATTAAATGGTAATAAACAAAATTAACCAAAATATATTAACAAAAAGTCCAACATACGTAACAAAATAAATTAAAATAAATCCAACCAAATTAATGAAATAAAGTAAGTATTAAATGATAAAAAAATTACAATAAAAAAGTTCAATAAACAACTAAATACAAATATAATAAAAAAAATCTATCGATGTCTACGACGTGAATATGTTCCTCAGGGCGGTGGCTGGCGATCTCGAGGAGGATTTCTTCGTATCAGTGGTTGTGACTCCTCGCTGTCATCATCATTACCATCATCGTCGTCGTTGTCATGAGCAGCTACATTAGGTTGATGAGACGCTGATGACGATGAAGAACCTCCATAGAATAAGGACCCTGGAGGTGTATGACTGACTATCCCACCGGCCT